GCGGGGGCGGGGGGAGGCGGGGGTGGGCATGGCGGGAACGGGCAGCAAGGCTCAGGCCTGTGGGCCCGGAGCCCAGCAGCGCCCAGGCGGCGGCGGGCAGCGGCAGGGCCGCTGGGGCCGCGAGGCGCGACCCCGGGGGCAGCCGGCGGGACACCAGGGACAGGGTCCAGGGGCGGGGGCTCCCACCCTCCGCGCACATGACTCGTGGGTCGAGGAGGCGGGTCCAGGCCACGCCCGCGCGCTTGCTGATGTCGGCCAGCGCCACCACCGCCACGTAGGTGAAGTAGAGCAGGAGGAGGGCCGCCACCGCGCCGGCATTTACCCTGCCGGACCCCACTGCACACGATGCAGGAAAAGGAAACGGGGGGCATTTGAGCGGAAGGCTGGAGTGAAGGACATCAGGATGCAAGCAGGCTGCTGGCTGGAAGCCACCGCTGTGCACAAAAAGGGACCCTGGGCAGACGCCCTGGGGATCTGGATGCTACGCCAACAAGACCGTCCCAGCGGTAAGGTTTGTGGCCTTGAACTTGGCAGTAACAGAGGCGCCACTTGAAGACTCGCTTCCATAAATGCCAGGCATAGCTCCATCCACTCACCCACGATGGCGATCAGTACGAGGGCTGCAGCAAAAAAGGCGATGTCTCGAATCTGTGCCCCGCGGGCAGACACGCCGCCGCAGATTCGGATGACCCTGCCGGCGACGATGCACGTCACAAACATGCTGGCGCCGGTCAGGGCGCCGAGTGCCAGCCTGGGTGGGAGGGGAAAAGGGCGGCACCGGGTTTGTTGCAACTGGCCCAGTGGATTAGACCTGGATAATCGGCACTTTCTTGCGATGTCCAGGCTGAGCCAGCCTTGTCCCGCTTTCCATGCCAAGTCACCCATGGCCGTGTCCCAAATGACAAGCATGCCCGAGCCGACAACACTCACTCGACATTGCCAGACTTGACGGCCGCGACGCTTGCCGAGAGGTCAGGTGCACCATTGCCCAGGGCAAGGAGAGTGACCCCAGCGAGGCGCGGGGGCAGGCCCAGGTCCTGGGAGATCTGGGACAGGATGACGGAGAAGAACTCGTCCGCGGCCAGGGCCATCACCCGGAACAGGGTGAGTAGCAGGAGGACACATGCAGTCTGGTTGCGGGGGGATGAGGGAAGGAGGGGGGGGGAGGGAAGTGAGAATACCTCGCCAACAATGACCAAGCCAGTGCCCTGACCTCTTGCACGCTTGCCCAGAACTTGACGGCTCTGCATGCTCGTCGGCGTCTGCTATCCTCACGAGCATTCCCCACAGAGGTACTCAGCACGGCCGACCATCCCTTGACGACAACAGGAGGCTTGGGCCCACAAAACTTCATGCTTGGCCTCAGCAACACGACTCACGATCATGAGCCCCTGCTTCCAGGGAGTGGGGTATACATGGCAGTAGTATGCCTTGGTGTAGTCGAACAGGCTGTCCGTCTCACAGTAGGTCTCGGCGTATGCACACCGATCCTGGTCGGCAGGCAGGTCCCTAACCGACTGGCACTTGGAGTCCTGCGGTGAAGTCGCGCGGCGACCCGCCTAAGTGGTAGGATGCCAGAGATCACACGTACGCACCCCGGCGGTCAGAATGTGACGTGGCCACTCACCGCATCCTCTGCCGCGGCCAGGCCGGGGCAAGCTAACAACAAAATTATGCAAATGACAATATGGGAGCTTGTACGGGCGCTCTGAGGCATCCAAGCCCCGGCGAGGGGAGTGGGCAGAATTCTAGGCTTGCACCCTCTGAAGCAGGAGGGGGGCGGCAACTAGAGTGTATGCATACGGACCATTTATAGGAAATTTCAAACGATTCGAATAGGTACAGAGTGCTACACAGATCAGGGCAGTGGGAACTTGCGAAGTCACATTACCGCGCTCGCAGAATTTCCTTCCGGCGCGTTCTCCTGCTGCATGTACCTGGCAGCTGTCCTGAAGAAAAGGTGGACACGCTTTGGTACCAGATTGGCCAAGCAGCTCAGAACCTTCTCGTCGTGATACAACTGAATCTTCTAGGTGGGAGTGGTAGTTTTCGGTACACGCTGAGGAAGCTGCTCATGCGACCGATGTCAGAGTGCACATCATGTCCATACACACTGACGAATGGGATCGCGTTGCACACTCCTACTCATTTTGAACCTTGGGAAAATCTTATCCATGTGCCTGACAGGCAATCTTGAGAACTTTTACCTCCAGGTCGTGCTAAAGTTGAAGTCCAAATTAAGGACTAAAGGCAGCTCATACTATGCACTAAGCCAGCCATTCCAGGTGCCAATGTCTACCAAGTGCCAAATCTTGCTCAGTCATGATGCAACTTTTACTTAGCTTGAAATGACGATTCGTGTCTTGTTGGGGAACCAGAAAGATGTCTTCCCCTGGGGAACAAAAGGTGGTCTCCAAGCACTCAATCCTTGAGGAAAGGGCACTCATGTGACTGCATGCAACAACGTGCTGTTTGCTTCCCAGCTCCGACCGTTTGCACGATTTGGAGTATGTGAGCACGGACGACGATAGGATGCTGATTAGATTTGCCTGGCCTCATCAATAATCTCCTGGTGCCGAACCCACCTCGGACGCCGGCAGGATGGCGTCACTCCTGCTCAGCCCCACCGTCACCCCGACGACCTGCAGTAGACGCGGGCATGCGGCATGCCAGTACTCAACCCGTATGGGCTGTCTCAGGCCAGCTGTCGAGCTGAAGAGGACATGCAATATTGCTTCCATGAGGAGGGCCCCGCCCTGCAGCGCACCCCGGCGAGGCCTGCGCGCTGCGGCCAGTGCAGCGCCTGCCAGAGTGGAGACGGAGGAGCCCTTTGACCCCCAGATCGTTGTGGTCCTCGGGATGCAATGGGGGGACGAGGGGAAGGGCAAGCTGGTGGACATCCTCGCCCAGAAGTACGAGATTGTGGCCCGTGCTCAGGTACTGGGGTATTTGCTTTGGGAGCTGCGTTGGGCGAATGGAGTCCTTTAGCCCTGTGTATGTCACGCTGGGACCGTGTGACCCCTGAAAACCCCATGGGAGTGTACCTGTGTTGTGGGCTGCACGGTCTCCAGCCAGCGATAGTGTCCAGGCTGCGACTGCCTCTGGCCCGCATCCATGCCTAGTATGCGGTACTCCTCCCGCCCGCAACTGTGTTCGGGTCTGGAACTCCCCTCAACGTGCAACACCCCACCTTGCACAGGGGGGAGCCAATGCGGGCCACACCATCTACGACACGGAGGGCAACAAGTGGAAGCTGCACCTCCTCCCCTCCGGCATCCTGAACCCCAAGGCCAAATGCGTGATTGGCAACGGCGTGGTGGTCCACCTGCCGTCCCTCCTGGAGGAGATTGAGGGCATGGAGGTGGGTGTGCAAGGGGGCCTGGTTCTGAGAGTTAACATGGAATGCGGGCCTGGGAGCACTTCGTGCGTCGAGCCATGTCGCTGTGTGGGGAGGGGCTGCGGGGCGGGCGTCTGCGCGGCACATCATATCAGATGGCCTGTCTACGAAGGCACCCTGTTTCTCCTCAGAGCTGGGACGGCTTCCCAGTGGCACTCACTGTCCCATGCTTGCCAGGCTGTAGTACCCTCCCTCGCCAGCCGATGCCTAGTCTCAAAGATGAATCCCCCCTCCTCCCCCCCTGTCGAGACCCCCCCCCAAAAAACACCTCCATCCCTTCTCCCAGGCCCGGGGCGTAAGCGTGGAGGGCCGGCTGTTCATCAGCAGCCGCGCGCACCTGCTCTTCGACCTGCACAAGGAGATCGACGGGCGGCGCGAGGAGGAGCTGGCGGGCACGGGCAAGGAGATCGGGACGACGCGGCGCGGCATCGGCCCCGCCTACGCCTCCAAGGCCATCCGCAACGGCCTGCGCGTGGGTGACCTCGCCCACCCCGACGCCTTTGCCGCCAAGCTGCGCGCGCTGGCGCTGGACGGGCAGCGCCGCTTCGCCGACTTTGACTACGATGTGGAGGCGGAGATCGCGTCGTACCGCGCCATCGCGGCCCGCATCGCGCCCTACGTCTCCGACACCGTGCACGCGCTGAACGAGTGGGCGGACGAGGGGCGGTCCATCCTGGTGGAGGGCGCCAACGCCACCATGCTGGACCTGGACTTTGGCACCTACCCCTACGTCACCTCCTCCAACCCCTCCATCGGCGGCGTGGTGGTGGGGCTGGGCCTGGCGCCCCGCCGCCTGGGCGCCACCATCGGCGTGGCCAAGGCCTACACCACGCGCGTCGGCGCGGGCCCTTACCCCACCGAGATCCACGGCGAGCTGGCCGACACGCTGCGCGAGGTGGGCGCCGAATATGGGACCACCACGGGGCGGCCGCGCCGCGTGGGCTGGCTGGACATGGTGGCCCTGCGCTACGCGGTGCGCATCAACGGCCTGACCCACCTCAACCTCACCAAGCTGGACGTGCTGGACGGGCTGAAGGAGATCAGGGTGGGCGTGGGGTACCGGACCCCGGAGGGGGACCTGCCCACCGTCCCCGCAGACCTGGAGACCCTGGAGCGCGCTGAGGTGGTGTGGGAGACGCTGCCCGGGTGGCAGCAGGACATCAGCAAAGCGCGCACCTGGGAGGACCTGCCGGAGAACGCCAAGAAGTGAGTGTGTCGAGGTCGGGGTGTGAAACCTGTTGTGTGTGTCGGGGTTGTTTGGCGAACAGTTGATGCGGGGGGACCCCAAGGGTTGCAGGGCGCACCGTGGTGGCGCTGCCAGAAGGACCAGGCCCTGCTGAGTGGATACAGATGTGCTCCGGTGGCGCCCGACGTGCAGTATCCGGCGGGATGAAGCCCAGGGCAGCAGATAGGGCAAGCCCCTTTGTTCCCCTGGTCACTCCCTCCTCGCCCAATTCTCAAAACACCCTGCTGTCCCTGTATTGCCACAACCCCCTCCCCCCCCCCCCTTGCACAGGTACGTGCGCTTCATCGAGTCGAGGCTGGGCGTGCACGTCAAGTGGATTGGGGTGGGACCGGGGCGCGAGGCTGTGGTGCTGAAGCCCCTGGAGCTCCCCGTGGGCGCCCGGTCGTGAGGGTTTATGCTGCCGCGCACCGGTCCCACCTTCATCGACTCTGCGTTCGCCGCCGACAGAGAACGACAGGCGCCGCCCCTTCCCCCTCCCTTGCGCTCTGACTTTGCCACTTGATCCTCTCGCTGTACATGACGTGCGACGCGCCATGCATGCATGCGACCCGGGGTATCACGAGGCGGATAGGGAAATGTTGCGACAGAGAAATGCTGCGGCAAAGCACAGGGGGGGTGTATTGGGGGGGTCACCGCCGTGTGCACATCCATCGATCCACAGCGGCGCAGGGAGGCATTGCCTGAAGGGTGTTGAGCAAGGGGATTGTACACTCCATCAGAAGCAGGCAAGGGCCTGCTAAGGCGCCCCCGGTGGCAGACTATTGCCTCATGTCAGCAACTGCCAAGCGCCGACCATTCACCCGTGCTACCTTCCCGGCCGCACAGCCATGTACCATGTCAAGGCGGCACCAACTACATCAGCATTCCCGTTCCCCCTCCCACCTGGCCATTCCGGTTGGAGAGTGCACTCAGGCTTTCCTGAGGAGGATCTGGGAGCCGCCCTGGCCATTGTCCTTCCCTCGAGCATTCATGGCGGCAGGACACCGTGGTAAACCGTCCAGTCACACCTCCCATCGTCCCAGCTGAGTCCTTGCCGCGGCACCCCGCTTCCAATCAGCCCTCAGCCCCGCCTCAGGCGCAGACCAGCTGCCGGGGTCGGCCCAGCGGCTTCACCACCTGCAGCGCGCAGTGCGGGACGTCCGTGCCCTCCCCTTTTCCTGTCGAGGCCGGGGCCTGGCGTCGCTGCTGCTCCTCAGCCCAACGGCGCACGGGGCGGGACACGGTCTTGGTCAGCACCACCGCCACCTCCTTGGCACCCTCCAGCGGGTACGCGCCGTCGAACTCCACATGGGATATCAGGAAATCGAGGACAGCCGCGTCCCACGCCAGCCGCCCCACGCCCGCCTGGGCCAGGGCCTGGCTGCGGCGCTCGAGCCGGGCCTCGAACAGGGCGCGCAGGTGGCTGGCCTCCAGCGGGAAAAAAGGGAGGAAGATGTCGACCAGGCCCACCTTTGGGGGGATGTGTGTGTGGGGTGGGGGGGGGGGGGGTGGGAGAGGT